CATGTGGGTTCCTCAGTGACAGCAAGTGTCCCACACTGGGGGGATATGTTGCGAGCGGGGGAGGCTGTGGGAAGTCTCTGTATCATCCACTCAATTTTGCTGTGAACTTAAAACTGTTCTAAGAAAAAAAAAGAGAAACTTTTGCTCTGAAAAAGACCCTACTAAAAAGATGAAAAGAAAGGGGACAGCACAGGAGAGAGCATTGCCAGCCACCTCCGCATTCCAGGAGCAGAGACTTAAAAAGCGAAGGGAACGTTTCCTCATTTAGGGTGAAGGCACTGGTCCCAGCCATATCTGTTTGTCCAGAACTCAGTCCCCCGGCCGGCCACACCAGGCTGCAGAGAGGCTGCGGAGTGAGGCCTGTCCTGGTCTGTGTTGCCACAGAGGACAGGGGACAGACAATGGGACAAGGAGCTGTCCTGAACACCCCCACAACAATCACAGCCGCACGTAGGGTGAGGGCTCTTGATTTCCAGACAAGAAAATGATGCCTGGTGCTGCCGGCACAGGCTCCACATCCAGGTGTTCTCAGTGTTTAGCTCCCACTTTGTTTAGTTATGTATTTATTTAGAGACGGAGTCTTGCTCTGTTGCCCAGGCTGGAGTGTAGCGGCACGATCTCAGCTCACTGCAACCTCCGCCTCCCAGGTTTAAGCAATTCTCCCTGCCCCAGACTCCTGAGTAGCTGGGATCACAGACACCCACTACCATGCCCAGCCAATTTTTTTTTTTTTTTGTCTCTGTTGCCCAGGATGGAGTGCAGTGGTGCAATTTCAGCTCACTACAACCTCCACTTCTGGGTTCAAGCAATTCTCCTGCCTCAGCCTCCTGAGTAGCTGGGATTACAGGTACATGCCACCACACCTGGCTAATTTTTGTATTTTTAGTAGAGACGAGGTTTCACCATGTTGGTTAGGCTGGTCTCGGATTCTAAACTTTGTGATCCATCCGCCTCAGCCTTCCAAAGAGCTGGGACTACAGGCGTGGGCCACCACGCTGGCCTATATTTTTATTATTTTTTTTATTTTTAGTATAGACAGGGTTTCCCCAGGTTGGCCAGGCTGGTCCTGAACTCCTGACGTAAGGTGATCCACCTGCTTCGGCCTCCCAGAGTGCTGGGATTACCTCTCACTTCTAAGTGAGAGCACACACATAGTTTGGGTGGAGGATGGGAGGAGAGGACTGAAACCTCCCTGACGGTGCTGTGCTCATTTCCTGGGTCATGACATAATCCGTACAGCAAACACCCGGGACACACAATTCACCCACATAACAAACCTGCACATGTGCCCCGGAACCTAAAATGAAAGTTAAAAAATAAGTAAATAAAATTTTAATAGTAAAATATCAGGAAAAAAAGGCAAGTTAGTCCCCCTGTGGGCACGCTGCAGTGAACGGGAGGGTTGCCGCTTGTACCCAGCTGTCGGGTTTTAGATACGAGTTCTCCGCTTCAACACCAACGAAATGAGCCTCTTTCTTTCCTCGATACCGTGTCTCTTCCAGTTTGGAGAACACGAAAGATGAAAACAGAACAGGCTTTCCAAGGTGTGCTGGCAAGGGGCCATAGAATGCACCGACCACCCAGAAAGTTCCAAGCCCCTCCCCATGAGCCCTGAGATTAAACTCGGCTTCTGTTCACTGCTCCCTTGGTCCCCAAAACACAAACGCAATTTAAATTTACAGGCACCCTGGACTGGACGTGGCACTGGCTGCAAGGGCGATGCTGCTGTCACTAGGAGCGCCCACAGCTTATGTTTCTTATCTGATCCTCCTGTGGTACATTTTAAGCATCTGATTAGAGACTTTCCAACAGAAATACTATGCTCCTGAAGCACACTGTCTTCCTTCGAAGGGGTGCTGTGTGTGTCACGCCAAGCAGATGGCACACTTTGGGCGGCCACCTTCAAGGAGCTCCCGCTCCCCTGCGTGAACAGAAGGCAGAGGTGGCAGCGAATCCTCACCAAGCTTCCCTCCTCCTGCTCCGCACTGTGGGCTCCTTGACAGAAGCTATTCATTTCATGGCGAGTGAAAGCTGGGAGAGGTGAAGATGAATGAGCACGCACAGACACAGGGAGCCATCCCTCTGCCCTCATCGGGGTCTGTGGCCCCCATGGAACCTTCCACTCCAGGCCTCCCCTGAGTTCTGCTAATGATTATAAATGGCAAGGAATCTCCACTTTAATTGCAAAAGGTAATGATGCAGTGAGCGTAAGATTAGATTCACCACAGAAGGCAATATCCTGAAACAATAAAAAAAAAACACATTGAGAAGCTGGGTGTGAAGATGGCTGAAATCAATAGGAAGGTGCTGTATTAAATACCACAGTGGAGGGTCACAAAGTGATATTGACAGAACTGCTGACAGAGGATAAAAACGGGGGAGAGAAAACTAAATTGATCTGCAGAAAATAAGTTACAGATTAATCACCCTACCATGAAATCCTGTCGAGATGACCAAGGGTCTGAAGATGCGTTCACAGTTTGATTACAGAATAGGTCTCCGAAGTTGGGACAAATGAGAACCTGCTCCATCCTAATGCAGGGAACTCGACGTCTCCTTTCTCCCCGGCATCCTTCCTGAGACAGCAAGCACAGTAGGTGCACCAAAGGCTCCACCCAGCTCTTCCCACACCAGGAGCTGGGCCCTCTGCCCAACTATCTACTCCAGGACCTGAGCCCTCTGCCCAAGTGTCCACACCAGGAGCCGGGCCCTCTGCCCAAGTGTCTACGCCAGGAGCCGGGCCCTCTGCCCAAGTGTCCACACCAGGAGCCGGGCCCTCTGCCCAAGTGTCCACACAAGGAGCCGGGCCCTCTGCCCAAGTGTCCACACCAGGAGCCGGGCCCTCTGCCCAAGTGTCCACACCAGGAGCCGGGCCCTCTGCCCAAGTGTCCACACCAGGAGCCGGGCCCTCTGCCCAAGTGTCCACACCAGGAGCCGGGCCCTCTGCCCAAGTGTCCACACCAGGAGCCGGGCCCTCTGCCCAAGTGTCCACACCAGGAGCCGGGCCCTCTGCCCAAGTGTCCACACCAGGAGCCGGGCCCTCTGCCCAAGTGTCCACACCAGGAGCCGGCCCTCTGCCCAAGTGTCCACACCAGGAGCCAGGCCCTCTGCCCAAGTGTCCACACCAGGAGCCGGGCCCTCTGCCCAAGTGTCCACACCAGGAGCCGGGCCCTCTGCCCAAGTGTCCACACCAGGAGCCGGGCCCTCTGCCCAAGTGTCCACACCAGGAGCCGGGCCCTCTGCCCAAGTGTCCACACCAGGAGCCGGGCCCTCTGCCCAAGTGTCCACACCAGGAGCCGGGCCCTCTGCCCAAGTGTCCACACCAGGAGCCGGGCCCTCTGCCCAAGTGTCTACACCAGGAGCCGGGCCCTCTGCCTAAGTGTCTACACCAGGAGCCGGGCCCTCTGCCCAAGTGTCCACACCAGGAGCCGGGCCCTCTGCCTAAGTGTCTCCCCCAAAGCTTACCGAGAGCCTGGAATTTTAATAAGAAGCTATTTTCCTTTCTCCTCCGGGAAGTTTACAGTTATGCAGCAAAGTCCTCCTAGAGCACGATGGAGGGAAGGGACGAGGAAGCACCGCCATCAACCATGACCAGCCTTCCTGCCAAATCTCCCAGAAGGTGGAAGATGATAAATATATCTCCCCAACCTGTAGGTGTGGTCCACGAGGGTCAATTTCAGGCATGAAACGTCATTCAAGTTTCCTGTTTTGTCTTAAAAGTTTGCACGAAATTTGCATTCTACTCCAAGAAATGAAGCTATGACTTATATTTAAAGTTTTTCATAAAAATAATGATTTTCTTCCTTAAATACCATCACTGCTCTGGGTGAACGCCCAACACTTAATTCCGTGGTGAAGGCTGTGAGGCTCCCTTCTGTCCATTCAAAGGTTTAAAGCTTTAACAGGGCACATAATATTTTTAAGTCTTGCTTATGTACCACTTATTAATAATGACGAGTAATTATTCATGCCATCTCGTCAGCTAGAGGGGTGAGGAAAGGACTTATTAATATTCTAAGCCACCGTGTGGGAGAAAAGCTAAAAAAAAAACATGGCAGGGACAAATAAATGTAAGCTGAGGCCACCCCTGGAGAAGTCTCTCCAATGGCTATTTGCATGATCCTTAGTCTGCGTGTAGGCAATGCGGCCCCCGAGGAATAAATGACATTGCAAGCGCTCCCGGTTCAAAGTTCTTGCCTTTTCTCTTCTCTAAAGTGGCCACTTTGACATGAACAAATATGCAAGGAAATGACGAATACGTGCAAAAACCACATTTTAAAGGAGAAAGTTTTCAGAAATCCAGTATGAAGTATATGTATTAATATTCCCTCTGTGAGGGACAAAGCGTTCACACGGTGCACATTTCAAAGCACAGCCAACCCAAAGAAAGTGCTAAAGTTACTTTCACAACTCGTGCAAACGCGTTAGAAGAGCGCGGCGCCACTACACAGTTAAATGTTATCACTGACCTACCTGAAAGTATGATCTTACCCAAATACACTTTAAGAACCTATTCATCAAAAGGATGGCACGTTTGAAACAGCAGAAAATTCTCCTGGGCGTCCCACTCCCTCCTTTGCCCAACGTGCAGCAAAAGGCGGATGTTTTGCAAACCACTGGGTTCTGGGTCGTATCTCACGAGCCCTGAGTGACATCTGAACAGCTTTACCTGTTTGCAAACCGCTGGGTTCTGGGTCGTATCTCACGAGCCCTGAGTGACATCTGAACAGCTTTACCTGTTTGCAAACCGCTGGGTTCTGGGTCGTGTCTCACGAGCCCTGAGTGACATCTGAACTGCTTTACCTGAAAGACCCCTTCACTCAGTTCTTTGATTGATAATTCAGTCTGTTCATTAAGGTCAAAATTCTAAACTGATATGAATGAAGAATTATATTCTGAATTTAGCCAAAGCTCCTATTTAAAAATCTGAAAAAGAACAAATGCTGTGCTGTTCTCTTTACTTACCACAGCCTGGCTTGAGCTCTGTTCTCTTTACTTACCACAGCCTGGCTTGAGCTCTCCTGTAGATCCCACAGCAGGATATGGTTATCGGCCAATGAAATGATTCTCTTCCCATCTCCCATTGGCTCCCACACGACACTAAGAGAAACAGAAGTACCAAATGTTAATGTAAACGTTTATGATACCCAGCTTGGAGCTCAGAGCTGTGATACACGTTCTTCATGACGCAGGAGCCCTGTTCCTGCCCTGCAGTCACTAGAGTGTTTATTACGCTGTCATCTGGCAGAGCCTGTCAACACTGCAACATTACTGTTGTCTCACTGTTATGGACTGAATTATGCGCCCTGCCACATTCAGGTGTGGAAGTCCCAGCCTCCCACCCAGTGTGGCACTGCAGGTGCCCTTCAATGTACACAAGGGCTATGTCCCCACCTCCATCGTAAGTTTAAAATATCATGAGCTGAAAATGTCGTGAAGGCACATAACGCACTCATTGTCAGAGCCAGCCCAGCCTGCCTTAAACACGCTCGCAACACTCGCACCAGCCTGCGACTGGGAAAATCATCTAACACAAGACCTCCTTTAAAAGAAAGTGCTGAATATCTCATGTAATTTATTCGCTATCATACCGAAAGTGAAAGGTAAAACGGTTGTATGGGACTCGACATGCAGGTTCTACGAATGCACAGCGCTTCCATGCCATTGCAAAGCCGAGAGGCCATAAGTCGGGACTGTCTGTATTTGAAATGAAGCCTTTGAGAGGTGATTAGGGTTAGAGGAGGTCGTGAGGGTGGGGCCCTTGCAATGGGATTCGTGCCCTTATAGGAGACCTGGAAGGGAGGCTTCCTCTCTCTCCATCATGTGAGGACTCAGCGAGAAGGCAGTTGTCTACACATCAGTGAGAGAGCCCTCAGTAGGAAACTAATCAGCCAACACCATGATCCTGGACTTCCAGCCCTGGGAACACATTACTGCGTTGATGCTGCCCAGCATGTGGCATTTCGTATGGCAGCCCAAGCTAAGACACTCGCCAAGGTGGGCTTCATCAGTAACTAAGGAATGGACACTGAGCAGCTGAGGGAGACCTGTGGGGACTGGAGGGTGGAGAGGCAGCGAGGAGACGGTGATTTGCACAGGATGCCCACATTCTCTGTAGTGATCCCATTAGGCACTCAAGGATAATGGCAAAGCACTGGAGGAGATGGGAGGACAGAGCTTAGAGCAGGGCAGGGGTACTGCCACCGGCCATGCCAGGCTCAGGGTCTGCCCTGCCTGTGATGTGAGGCCATTTCTTGATGTTTGAGCCAATCTGAGCCACAGTTTCCCATCATCTTGCCCCAAGTCATCCTAACTGATACAGTGTGTATTCAGTTACTCAGCAAAGACCAAAACTCTCGCATCTCTGCAGTAAAGCCATACAGAGACCAAGAAGTTTTCAAATTGGTTGCAAATATGGGTCTCTGTTTTCTCTGGTGAAATTCTTAAATACTTATTTACAAAGAAGGGAATTTCCTTCCACGTGCTTTAACTTGTGAGTAACTAAAGACATCAATAAGGTACTACGCTATGTCTTTTTCAAACACAACACAACACGGACTGATTGGGGGCACCCTCAAGCGTACCTCTCTTACACCATCACCTCAGGACTGGCCATGGAGCTCTTATTGTGTGTAATCACAACATTAATACCATTCAAAACCACAATTTCTTTCTCATTTATAGTTGAGGGAACACACAGAAAGCTCACAGGACTGTGCTCAAGCGCCTGTCACACCTAGACTGACAAAGAGTTCACTGTATCTTATGTAATCATCATAATAAACACGCGATATGTAGTAAACAAGACCAAAACCCTGCAGCTAGCATGCTGAAAAACCTGCTCCTGTCCAGGTAAGACAATGGCATGTCCACTGCTCCTGTCCAGGTGAGACGACGGCTGATCCTAATGGTGAAGATGCTTCTTTGGAGCAAAATGATCACACTTCTCTCAGCAGCCCAGTTATCACAGGTAAGCACAGGTACAGTTCGGACAGCTTGACAACGAATTCCAAAGGACAGCTGCCATGCAGGAAGAGAAGGATGCGACGGGCAGCTCACAGAGCTTGTGCTGGTGGAGGAACACACTTACCACATGGGACATTTTCTAGGTGACAGGCAGTAAATTTAGCTGGATTCGTAAGCTCCCCGGCAGATCTCACTTAGAACTCACGTGTGCTCCCCACCGAAAGTAAGCAGAAGGATGCAGCAAGGAGTGTCCGTGTGGGCCACACCAACGAACGCAGGGACAGTGACTTCACAGCACGGTATCAGCAGGGCGCAGTTGGCATCAGCAGCAGGACACTTGGGGTTTTTAACAGAGGCTCCAGAAAGGCAGAGATTCCCTTCCCAACTAATTCACACGTCACAGGGTGAGAACTAGCCCAGCTGATGTCAAAGACTCACTACCTAATTATGAATCAAAGTTAAGAGCTTGTAAGTTATCCACGTTTCCCACAGAGCAATTTTAATAACGCACAAACGCTAACCTTGGCTACCGTCCCTAAACGGATTAAAGGTTTCTGAATCATACACCCCATCTATATTAAAACTCTCCTATGCTCCCCACAATGACCAGCAACCTGTGGGGAGCACAACACTTAATACTTGTTGATGAATTCTGAGAGTGAAGAATTCCAGGTAGGAGTGAAGATGTCACATTAACAAGCGAGACTATTTTAAAATAAACTGAGTTAACCGTTAGTGCATCTGGATTTGGATAACAGCCGACAACCCTAGAATGAGGACGTGTGTTAAAGGCCTCTGAACAACTTCGAACCTTTGAATATCGCATTTCAAAGAGCAGCGTCCTCAAGCCCTTCCTCAGAAGACAAGTGTTCCCTTTCAAAGGCCCACAGTCCCAACACCTGTGGTCATCTGTTGTCTAAGCCAACGAGAGAACAAAGTTGTGGATGACAAGAGAAAAGGGGAGGCTGTAAACAGAAACCAGGTTGATTCCACAAGCCAAGAAAGATGATTGACTCAGAGCAAAACAGACGCAGGAAGGAAGCAGAAATGCAGGAATCAAAAAGACCCCATAACCTGGGGCAGTTCGTTTTGGACGGACTTTGAAACTCCAGCGTGTACTCACAAAGCCGTAAGGGCAACACTGCATTACCGTTTGTGTCAGGCACTGTTCTTAGTCACGACCAAGAATCACTGGGATTTACATGCAGAAAGCTCTAGCTAAGAGGGAGTAAACGTCAAAATATGTTTTAAAAAGTTTTCATCTAAATGTTTTTCTTTCATCTGATGTTTAACTTCAATAAACATAGGTGCTTAATAAAACTCAAATTACCCAGAAATAGTTACCCCATACGATTATAATTTGTCAATTAACAAAAAAAATTTAAAAGGACAACCCTAAAGATGTCAGATAGCGAAGATTTAGATCCAATTTTTTTTTAAAAATTGAGTTAAACTCATGTAAAAACACTGTACAAAGAGGTGTATATTATATCCCACTGTAGATTAGAGGCGGAAGCCACCCTCTGTGAAGCAACACGCTCCGCAGGGAGAGGTAGACACCAGTATCATGGGTCAAATCTGACGGCAGATATTCAGAAACCACGTATCACAGAAACGCTACAACCAGCAAGACCCAGCCTGGTACCAGTCGGAGACAGCACTTCCTGGGCCCCAGCGAAAATCTGCAGAGGTCCTGCTGGCTACCCTGATACGCCCCTCAGAGGGCAACCGCACCTGAGCTGAGAAACCCCATGGCCACTCCCGGCAGTAGGGGAGGTTTCACTCATAAGCAACGCTGAATACAGGTAAGTCAGGGGCACACCCAGCACGGCCCTGGTATACTCTAGAGCACCCACAGTGAGTCAGGGGCACACCCAGCACGGCCCTGGTACACTCTAGAGCCCTCACAGTGAGTCAGGGGCACACCCAACACGGCCCTGGTACACTCTAGAGCGCCCACAGTGAGTCAGGGGCACACCCAGCATGGCCCTGGTACACTCTAGAGCCCTCACAGTGAGTCAGGGGCACACCCAGCACGGCCCTGGTACACTCTAGAGCCCTCACAGTGAGTCAGGGGCACACGCAGCACGGCCCTGGTACACTCTAGAGCACCCACAGTGAGTCAGGGGCACACCCAGCACGGCCCTGGTACACTCTAGAGCCCTCACAGTGAGTCAGGGGCACACGCAGCACGGCCCTGGTACACTCTAGAGCCCTCACAGTGAGTCAGGGGCACACGCAGCACGGCCCTGGTACACTCTAGAGCCCTCACAGTGAGTCAGGGGCACACCCAGCACGGCCCTGGTACACTCTAGAGCCCTCACAGTGAGTCAGGGGCACACCCAGCACAGCACTGGTACACTCTAGAGCGCCCACAGTGAGTCAGGGGCACACCCAGCACAGCACTGGTACACTCTAGAGCGCCCACAGTGAGTCAGGGGCACACCCAGCATGGCCCTGGTACACTCTAGAGCCCTCACAGTGAGTCAGGGGCACACGCAGCACGGCCCTGGTACACTCTAGAGCGCCCACAGTGAGTCAGGGGCACACCCAGCATGGCCCTGGTACACTCTAGAGCACCCACAGTGAGTCAGGGGCACACGCAGCACGGCCCTGGTACACTCTAGAGCACCCACAGTGAGTCAGGGGCACACCCAGCACGGCCCTGGTACACTCTAGAGCCCTCACAGTGAGTCAGGGGCACACCCAGCACGGCCCTGGTACACTCTAGAGCCCTCACAGTGAGTCAGGGGCACACCCAGCACGGCCCTGGTACACTCTAGAGCCCTCACAGTGAGTCAGGGGCACACCCAGCACAGCACTGGTACACTCTAGAGCGCCCACAGTGAGTCAGGGGCACACCCAGCACGGCCCTGGTACACTCTAGAGTGCCCACAGTGAGTCAGGGGCACACGCAGCACGGCCCTGGTACACTCTAGAGCCCTCACAGTGAGTCAGGGGCACACGCAGCACGGCCCTGGTACACTCTAGAGCCCTCACAGTGAGTCAGGGGCACACCCAGCACGGCCCTGGTACACTCTAGAGCCCTCACAGTGAGTCAGGGGCACACCCAGCACGGCCCTGGTACACTCTAGAGCCCTCACAGTGAGTCAGGGGCACACGCAGCATGGCCC